TATATTGTGTGTGTGTGTGTGTTTTTTAAATTTTATATAATTGTATTTACCAAATAGTCCGTTGAATAATTGCCGGTTGATAGGTGGGCGATTACCTCTTTTGCTAGTAGCTGAATAATTGGCAATACTCGAGCCATAAACCTCAAGAAGCGTTTCTCGTACCAGTACTTTCCAATCCTGATGGATATCATATTCTAATTTCATATATGTCTTCTTTGATTTAGGAAGATAAAAACCACAGTTTGGTGATAATTCTTCCTGTAATATTTACAAAATTTAATTAGTTTAAATTATTTTATTTAAACGAAATTATTACGGCTCTAATGTGAAATTCACAAATTTAAAATCCCTTGGCAAATAAGAGCCGAACGCTGATGGTAGTGCGTAAAGTTTCGTAGAAAATTAATCTTTCTACGAAATTAATTGATTATGCACAAGGTACAAATTTTAAGAAAGATTTATTTTTTACGAAACTTTACGCACTGCCATCTGCGTTTGGCTCTTATTTTATTTATTTACATTATTTATTTAAATTAACTTTAATTTTAGAAATAATATATTAATTACATATTAATCCATATAATTGTACCTTATTATCATCGTCTGCAAAATAAGTGCTAGATATCTGAAAAAATTAATCAATAATCATAATTGTAATCATAAAAGTAATATTAATTATCAAATAATTATAATAATATTTTTTTCGGATACATTACTGGACATTTTTCTGGAGTTCCTATGTTCATTTTAGTTTGTTCTCTATAAGCTGTTTTCATCATGGTTAATAACCGTTCTACTACTTCTATATCTTGTTTTCTTACTGCAAAGAATGAATAGTACCATCATCTTATAAATGATATAGATTATATATAACATATATAAGCGCGCGCGCGCGCGCGTGTGTGTGTGCAACAATGCATACAACAATATAATAATATAGTAGACAAGATAAAACAATATAAGATATGAGATATAACAATATAAAAGTAATAACAAACACATTTGTCACAAACCTGTCCATGGAAAAAGTCCTGAAAAACTTGATGCATTAGTGCATTGTTGATCATGTGAAAGTGTGCATGATGATCCGGAGTTCGTTAAAGATGGTGTGGTGATATTTTTTCCTGTGTTCATAAATTTCTTCTGAGTATCATTTCTTTTCATAGATTGAGTTATTTGAATTGTGTACAGCTGATAGTGCTGATTTCATGATGTTATCTGTATTTGAAGCAAATCTTTGACCATTTGGAAATGTGCATGATGAATCCATTGGATATACTGTAGAACTATCTTTAAATGCATTCTGAGTATATAAAGTGTCATGTGTTGATTCATGCGAACTATATATTCTTGATGGTGTTGTCTCCATGATTTTATCGTTACTTGAAATAACATTTTGATCATTTTGTAATGTGCGTGATGCTGCAGAGTATATTTGAGAAGATGGTGTGCTACTATCTTTATCCGAATTGATAAAAGAATTTTGAGGTGACGCATTGTATGTTGTGGCACATGAATCATATACCATTGATGACACTTCCATAGTATTATTTGAAATAAATTCATTATTTGGATATGTGTGTGATGAATAATCTGCTTGTAATGCTATGATATTACTTTCTGCATTGCGCATCTATTGAAAATGAGGAATCATAAGTTTTACATAAAATAATATAATTATGTAATTGTGTAATACCTGTTGATTATATATAGAAGAGTTCGGAGTATTGCTTTGAAGTGTTGATGTTGATTTGGGTCTATATATTTGCGTTGTATGCAGTGATGTTTTTCTTTTTGGTATATATGTAGATAATGGATGATTTTCTTTACACACTATATGTTGACTCTTCTTAATTTTGTCTTCTAATTCTTTCCTATTTGAACTTTTAATATCTTTAATTAATTTTTTGTTTTTAACCATTGTTTTATTTTTATTTATTATATGTGCGGAAAAATTTTTTTTATTTGAATCGTGTAAGTCACCAGTATCAGTTACTATTGTTTTATAAAGTTTATTTTCATCATCTGTAAAATAAAAATAAAGATTTCTAATTAAAGCTTAAAGAATATCTTAAACAATATTTGAATGTCACAGCAATTGCAATGCTAACAATAGTACAACATGCTTGGAGAATTTATTAAATTATTTTTATCGAAAATCTCATAATGATTTTTATACGAAATAATGTCAAGATTATTGAAAAAAAAAATATATTAGTGTACAATCTCAATTTATTTTTACGAGAAATTATCTTATTTTCGGTTATATCTTATGTTCGTCATTGCCGCCATATCTTTTATAAATGATTTGTTATATACTAAATGATCTGTTATATACTGAATAATTTGTTACTAAATAGAATATTTATACATACCACTTATTGCTAGTACTCTAGCTACTGATTTTGTTTCTTCCTGTGTCCGGAAATCTTTCCATGTTAGGTTCACAATCGAGTTTATTTTTTGTTTACACTTCGGTATGGTGGATAAAGGAATTATATCCTTCTGGCCACTTTTTATCCACCATATCAATGCAAATTGTTCTTTCACTGGTGGCATTATTTATTTCAGAAATAATTTTATAGTCTGAATAATGGATATTGTACGAATGAAATGCAAACGTACAATTAACACTATATTGTAGAATATACGAATTCTGTTATAAACTGCGTAACATAAAGATGTGTGAAAAGATGAAAAGATTGTTACGATATTTGTGAAAAAATTGTTACGATATTAGTTCTGATGTTGATCACTAAGGTTACGTTACACCTGGTGATCGCGATGCTCGCGAATATCGCATTTGTTTTTGTTTAACTTGGCAACGAACGTTGCAATCGCCAAGTGAAACATAATTTCAATTTCTGCTCGAAATTACAGTACTCTTTCCATTATTGCTGCTAAGTGAGAATACTTGTTTCGTGTGTAAAGATAAAATGTCTAGAAAATCATTTCAAGAATTAAGAAAAACTCAAATATACAGGGTGTTCCGGAACAACCTTCCGTCCGTGAAATGACGTATTCCTGATACAATTCTAAGACGATTTTTCCTTTACCAAAATTTGAATTGAAGCGTAATTTTTGAGTTATAAGCAAAAATAGTTAACAAATCACGCGTCGAATACAGAAGGCAGGCAGGAGCGGCGCGGCGCGCCGCGAGCGCCCGGCACAGCTGACCGTCTGATTACCACCGCATGAGCCGCTAACTATTTTATCTTACAATATAAAATTATGCTTTAAATAAAATTTTAGTAAAGAAGGAAATATCTCAGAATTATGTCAAGAATACGTGTTTCTTAAAATAACGTCACTTTAACAAAAGTTGTTGCGGATCGCCGGCCGTCGGACACTGCAATCAGCTGATTGCTAACGCGATGTGTGTATGGCAGAGTGTATGTGCGTAAAAGAAAGAGAGAGAGAGAGACAGAGAGAGAGAGAGAGTGAGGAAGGGAAGCAGGGAGAGACGTTTATACACACGCACGCACATACGCATACACTTTTTTCTCGCTCTCTTTCTCTCTTTTACACAACACTCATACACTCTCTCATTCAGTCACTCATTCACTCACTTACTCACTCACCTGTTCACTCACCTGCTCACTCACAGCAAATCTTCATGCTACGTATTGTTAACTGCTGCACGGTTATTATTATTTAGCGACGGACCGCGGAGACTGCGCGACCACATTGTTACGTTGCCTAGCGCCGCCGAGAAACGCGACATGTACTCGACATGTAGCGACATGCAAGTTACGACGTGCGCGTGGCGCGTGATCGATGCGAGATAAGACGAACGATCTTCTAAAACCTTCGCATTGCGAATGCGTTAGAAAACATGAAACGTATAATGACGTATTTAAAAAAATTAATTATTTATCATAATTAATAACTATTTCTAATTATAATAAATAATTATTATTTTAAAAAGCATGTATTATACATTATTACGTTTTCGAAATTATTGCATTTACGATGCGAAGGTTTCAGTCAATCGCAAGATCGCAAGAATAATGTCGTCGTGCCGCTCCTGCCTGCCTTCTGTACTCGACGCGTGATTTGCTAACTATTTTTGCTTATAACTAAAAAATGACGCTTCAATTCAAATTTTGGTAAAGGAAAAATCGTCTTAGAATTGTATCAGGAATACGTCATTTCATGGACGGAAGGTTGTTCCGGAACACCCTGTATAAACGATTAAATGAGTTCTTAATAAGTGCAAATGACAATAATGAAGTAAATGATTTTTTAGAACTAGGACTTCCAAATCAAATGTAAGTATTGTTTATTTTGGTAATTATTTACATTAACATTTTAGATCTAAATTTTAATTTGTATTAACGTATTTGTAAACTTGATATATCATTGTAAGAATATCATATCGTTTTTTAGAAATATAATATTCAATGAGAATGAGGAGGAAGCAAAAGTCGAAGAAGGAGAGGATACTGAAGAAGAAAGAAATAATAAAGAAGAAGAAACAGATAATACAGAAGAAGAAACAGATAACACAGAAGAAGAAGAGGAAGCAATAGAGGAAGAATGTGAGGAGGAAGAAGAAGAGGAAAATATTGATAGAGGAATAGGAAATGATCATGATGATATTGAACATGGCTATGAACGTTTATATTTTCGTGCTCCATTAAATGTCTCTCAGAGTATGCTGTTAATTTTGACACTTGCAATTCGTCATAATCTCAATATGTCATGTCTTGCTGATATAATAAATGTCATTAATTTACATTGTCCAGCTCAAGATTTAAAAAAAAAATTTTATTTTTAAATTTAAAAAATTCTTTTCTCTTAAGGAAATCAACATAAAAAAAAAATTATTATTGTGTCACATGTGATCGCGAATTGAAAGATGTCAATGATATTTGTCCATTATGTACAAAACAAAAAAATCCTTATTTTATTCAAATGCCTGTTATCGAACATTTAAAAGAAATGTTAAGTCGAGTTGGATTTTATAATAATTTGCAAGGACGGTTTCAAAGACCTACAAATCAAAATGATATATCAGATATATATGATGGGTCTATATACAGATATTGGATGGATAATGGTCTTTTGAAAAATCCTTATAATTTTTCTTTAAGTTGGTATACCGATGAAGTACCAGTTTTTAAATCTACCCAAATTAGCATGTGGCCTATTTATTTAACTATTAACGAATTACCTTTTAAGGAACGAAAAAGACTAGAGAATACTCTATTACTTGGACTATGGTTTAGAAAAAAAAGCCTTTTGCTAATTTATTTCTATGTAAATTACGTTCAGAATTAGAACAAATAGCTCAAGGTATACAAGTCTTCTTACCAGGAGAAAATAATCTTAATGAAAGGAATTCTATTAATAGGTACTGCTGATCTTCTTGCAAAAAATCAATTTATGAATTTTACACAGTTTAATGGTTATTATGGTTGTCCTATATGTTCTATCAAAGGCGAAAATTTGGCACTTCTTCCGAGAGGATCGATTCATATTTATCCCTATGTAAATAATGTAATATTTAGAACGTCACAAGAATGTATTAATTGGGCTAATGAAGCTACACCAGAAAATCCCATAATGCGTATCAGAGGTCCGACAATGCTTTCAGTATTAATGCCTAATTTTATTAAAGGAATGGGAATTGATAGGATGCATGCAGTTGATGGAGGTGTTATTAAAAAATTATTAAGTTTAATGTTTGATACCAAATATAATGCGGAACCTTTTTCATTGTATGTAGTTAAAGATATCATAAATAGTAAACTAACATCAATAAAACCGCCAAAATTTGTTCACCGCATGATACGGTCTATCGATGAGCTACTTCATTGGAAAGTATCAGAATTAAAAATGTGGTTTTTTTTATTCCATTCCTGTACTTGAAGGTGTATTGCGACAAGATTATTTTGAACATTATCTTCTTTTAGTGACAGCAATAACTCTACTTAATTCTAAAAAAATTACGCCATTTATGATAAATGTAGCTGAGGATTTTTTAAACAAATTTGTTAGAGAGTTTGAAACTTTATATGGTTTAAATTTCTGTTCAATTAATGTACATCAATTACTTCATTTACCGGATTGTGTAAGAAGACTTGGACCATTATGGACATTTTCATGTTTTAAATATGAAAATATAAATGGTCGGTTACTAAAATTAGTACATGGAACAAACCATATTGATACACAAATTGCTAGATCTCATGATCGATGTATTAAAATGATACGATTAATGGAACAGTTACCTGAAGGCCCTATACGAGATTTTTGTTTAAGTCGGAAAAAACAGATAAAAATTATTGAAAAAATTTCTGAAGACTCTTTCACTGATGGTGTATATCAAAATGTGCAGCCAATATCAGATGAACTTATTAATGGATTACATAATCTTGGCATCTTCCAAAATGTAGTAATTTATAAGTATTTTTGTTTATTAAAAAATAGAAAATTATATGTATCGAAAATGTATCAAAGAGATTTGAAAAGTCATTCTTATATTGTTCAATATGTAAATGATAATCGATTGCAATTAGGATCAATATGCAGGTAAAAATTATTGAAAAAATTTCTGAAGACTCTTTCACTGTTGGTGTATATCAAAATGTGCAGC